TTCCCCCCCCCCCCCCCGTGTATTACTGATGCCTGTCTTTATAAAACCTCATCCTTTCAAAAGTGACTACAGATTTCAGTGCAAGACTGCCTGGTTCCATTCAGATTCTGGCTGGATGAAAAACGATGTAGCCTTTTTTTCTCTTAATTTCCAAACTTGGAAATTTTCCCCTTCGAATCCTTGTTTCACTTTCCCTCATGCTTGTTAATCCAGTGACCAAAGCATTTGATATGTATATGATCATGGCACATGCTACTCCCAAACCTATGCTTTTAGCATAGTGCTTCACACCAATTGAAATGGTGGTATAGATTTTCTTGAAGTAATATTTTTTGCTCAATTTCCTTGAAAGTATTATAAGTTCACTCACTGTGTTAATGCTACATAATACTAAATGTGCTTTGTCAAGTCCTTATGAGTACAGTAATTTTAAAACTTACATTTGTCCAGTCCTCTCTCTTAGATGCTCAGGACAGTGAACTGGGGCTCATTTAATTCTTCACTGCATGACCAGTCAGAATGAGGAATAGTGCACTAAGTCATTCAAGCTTCTGCCTGTACCACACCTCCCTATGATCTGTCAGTGTCATTAAATGGGCTTAAACAGCCCATTCATTCTATGTCTCATAGTAAGTCTCATGACTTACTAAAATGAGGGAAGGAGGAAGAGCTGGGGAACAAAACATATTTTATGTAAAAATATTTTCACTGCTCAAAATTCAACAAAATTCCATGCATACATAGTAAAAACATCCTATTTGCAGATGTAAATCATTTGAGAAGACCAGTGTTGTGGATGAAAGTGCTCCCTGAACTTGGTTGTTTTCTTGCAAATGATTCATTAGTGAATGAGGTTTGAATCTTGTTTACATAGTTTGAGAGGATGTGTTGTAGTCTTTTTCTTCCTAGGTTTTATGTCTTTTGAATGGTAGATAAATATGATTTATCTTCATATGTCTATGGATATCAAACTTCCAGGAGATCCTACTATTTTTGGACTGGGTTTACCTAAAACACTGTTAGTTTCCCAGTTAAAACTGGTTGAATCTGTCCATGTGTAGTGAGATGGAGGAATTTTTGCCATGTCTTCTAACTGTAGTTAGTGTTTGTGGGTGCGCTTTGCTAGTCTGTGGAATCCTTGATCCTCTTTGAGCTTGGCTGTTTGCTTGCACAGGTTTCAAAGTGGCTGTAACAGATCTTATGCAATATGTAGATGACTCTTTTTTGGGGGGGCTACTGAGTCTTTTGGTTTATTTAAGATGTTTCCGAAAGCTTTAGTTAGTGTGTGTTACCATAAAGCTGTGTGGTTATAATAGTCTGTTGATTGTTTCTGATATGTTTTTGATGTATGCAAGTATTATACTTTTCATAGCTTTGTTGGTTGTCCTGTAGTATAATATCTGCAAGCAAATAACCAAGTTCAGAGAGCACCAAGGACTCCACCATTCAGCCCTGAACTACATATATACACTTCTATTAGAACAGTTCTTGGATAATGTATTGCACTTGTTAATGGACACAGTTAATAATAATAATAATAATAATAATAATAATAATAATAATAATAATAATAATAATAATAATAATAATAAAATTGGAAGGGACCTTGTAGGTCATCGAGTCCAACCCCCTGCCCAGGCAGGAACCCTACACCATTTCAGACAAACGGCTGTCCAGTCTCTTCTTAAAAACTTCCAGTGTTGGAGCATTCACCACTTCTGGAGGCAGGTTGTTCCACTGGTTAATTGTTCTAACTGTCAGGAAGTTTCTCCTTAGTTCTAAGTTGCTTCTCTCCTTGATCAATTTCCACCCGTTGCTTCTCGTCCTGCCTTCAGGCGCCTTGGAGAATAGCTTGACTCCCTCTTCTTTGTGGCAGCCCCTGAGATATTGGAACACTGCTATCATGTCCCCCCTCATCCTTCTGTTCGTTAAACTAGNTTCGTTAAACTAGACATACCCAATTCCAGCAACCGTTCCTTATATGTTTTAGCCTCCAGTCCCCTAATCATCTTTGTTGCTCTTCTCTGTACTCTTTCTAGAGTCTCAGCATCTTTTTTACATCGTAGTGACCAAAACTGGATGCAGTATTCCAAGTGTGGCCTTACTAAGGCATTGTAAAGTGGTATTAATACTTCACGTGATCTTGATTCTATCCCTCTGTTAATGCAGCCCAGCACTGTGTTGGCTTTTTTGGCAGCTGCAGCACACTGCTGGCTCATATTTAAATGATTGTCCACTAGGACTCAGAGATCCCTCTCACAGTTACTACTATTGAGCAAGGTACCCCCTATACTATACCTGTACATTTGGTTTTTCTTGCCTAAATGTAGAACCTTACTTTTTTCACCATTGAATTTCATTTTGTTAGATAGCGCCCAGTGTTCAAGTCTGTCCAGGTCCTCCTGTATCCTAAGGCTGTCTTCTGGAGTGTTGGCTATTCCTGCCAGCTTGGTGTCGTCTGCAAATTTGATGAGTTCCCCATCTATCCCCTCGTCCAGTTATTGCAAGCTGCAGTCAATCTGAGACAGGTTCCCAAGAGTGCCTGATCTCTGCAGTGGTAACAGATCTGTTAAACTGTTTTGCTTTCAGATACTACTGTCTCTAGAAGGTTTCCAGGATGCTTGAAGAATTATACTGTCATTAAACTGGACAGTCCTGTTTAAAATTCTGGCTGATCTTTAGAAAATTGCAGAAAAAAGCAGAGCTCCGTTGTTTTCTTTGGAGCTTTGGATGATGAAACTCTTGGATAGGCAATTAGCCCATTTTGGGACTTATTCTAGGCACTAGTTGCAAAATTGTTTTTTTCCTAGTTGGTGCACTGCATTTTGTATATCATCTTATTGTTATTGTACTGTTACTTTCTTTAAATTATTTAAGCAAGGCATGGGACATAAATAGAATTAGTTGGTGAAAGGTTTGATATGTTCAATATAAGGACCTTGAAGATAAGCCCCCCCCAGTGATTTGCTGTGTTAATTTTCTTAAACATTTTGTTCACATAATTGGTATGCTAATAAACTTCAATATTAAAAGCAGCATCTGATGGCTCACAGAAACACCTGCTTATCCAATTTTGATAAATGAATTTTATCTTTCTTTTTTACTTCAACTACATTTTTGGAGACTGACTTACAATATTGATATCATAACATTAAAACATGAAGCCATCTGTCTGATGGAATCTAGCTAGTAGATGGGAAGTAGTCTTACAACCAGTTTGATGGTGTAGTTAAAGGTACTTGGCTAGAAAATGGGGTGTATTAAAGTGTGGCAAGCTGGCATGAGTTCCAGAAATGCAAAGTTTGAATCCAGACTTTTGCAGTCTTATCTAGCAAACAGAAGTTGGCTAATAAAACTCAGGATGCACTACAAGATAAAGTAGGCGGAGAATGGCTTGTCTTAATGTTTGAAACATTCATTGCTTAAATTGCAATCTGAATCTATGTTTTGGGATTAAATTTAGTCCCCTTTTTCACACCATGCACTGAATTTCTGAACTTCAACTGGTAATTTAAAAATGGCCCTAGAACAGGGGTGTTAAATTGCTGGTCCGGCCGGATGCATCATGCCGAAACCACACCCACCCCATTGCCAGCAATGGAAAGATACGTCGCAACACATCATGTGACGTTGCGAGTTTGACACCCCTGCCCTAGAATGTCATTTGGAATGCTTCTGTTACAACCATTCCCCTTTTTCTTTAGATCAACTTTAGTATGATGCTATGTGATGGAAGCTGATTCTTAACTAAGGAAGGATAAGGCAGGCCATGGGAGATTGGTGCTGTTGTATGGACAATTCTGCCTAATCTTTTTTGTTTTCTCAGAGGCTTGCCTGCTCTATTTGTACGCTGAGGAATACAACTTGCAATGGCCAGTAAAGGTGGCAGCACCTCTCTGCAGGGAGTATAAAATTGAAGACTTCTAAGGTTCTGTTTGAAACCTAAGCTATTAAGCAGGGAAGTCAGTTTATTCTTACTTTTCTTCTCTGCTCTTCTGTTTAGTGGAATTCTGGCTTCGAAAAAAATTGAGGGGAAAGGATCCTGACAGTCAGCTGGGGCTTATTCGTGCTGCTGTAGAACCAAAGATGCTATAATATTTTCTTGGCTCTAGAGAAACCCAATACCAAGACATGCTGAAGAAATTTTTTTTTAATGAATGTGGTAAATCCTCATTAAGTGTTGACACAATAGGATTCTTGTCTTGGAACTCCTGTTTCTGTAGTAACTTGAAGTGGCATTTCTCAATAGATATATATCTTTCTCCAAAACTGTTAGCTTGTGATGTGTCTGCAAACTAAACTTTGGCTGTATTCTTTCAAGGACTTCAAAATAAATTCTTTAGCAAATTGATATTTTTAAAAGCATGTGCTTGTGAGATACAAATTCAGTCTCACATTTGACAGATTATTCTGCTATTTGAGGCTGTTAGATGCTTATTTGAATTGACACTCAATTCTCCTCTGATAATCACATTTATAAGTTTTAACAGTTTACAATAATAAAATCAAGTGTTAAAAATCAGAATATGAATATAGCATGTCTCTAGTCCAATTTAAATTATTAGAGGTCAGTTGTCCTATTTTATATGTTGAAAGGAATAGATTGTTATAGAATTGATTTGTACATCCTGGTGGTATGCTTTTGAGTACTGGATGCGTGAAGGAGCTTTAAGTTTTTTTTAGTATGTTCAATGGAGAAGAACGCATTTCATAGTTTCTGCTTGACCATCGTTGCCCGGACCCAAATGGTCCATAAAAGGGATCCTCCTGTATTTTCCTGTTAAGCCAGCTGGGCGGAAGTATAGGCCAGTGATGGCAAACCTATGGCACGCGTGCCAGAGGCGGCACTCAGAGCCCTCTCTGGGCACACCTGCCACCGTCGCCGCCAGCTTGCGCAGGTCCATTAGGCCGCTGCTGGCACCCGGAGTGGCAGCCCCACCCAGCATAAAGGAGGCGAAGCAGCTGGCTAGCAAGCTCGAGTAGAGGTGGTAGAGCACGGTCCCATGCACTAGCTGGCCTCTATGTGCGGGGGTTGATGGTGTCAGGCAGCAGCCGCCCATGCCTCGCCTTGCCCCGCAGCAATGGCACCCCTGCCCTACCCCCTGCCTCACCCCGCAGGACGAGATCCCACCCACCAGAGATCCCCTGGATCTCCCCCAATCCTGCCCAGCCCCCACAGGCGTCCCGCCCACAAGCAACATCAAGGTGGCCATGCCCATCCCGGCCATGCCCACTCGATCTGTTGTGACCACCACAGCCACGCCCACCCAGTGGGGTACACCCACCCATCCCGCACCCCCTGAGGACACCATAATGTTGATGCGGCCCTGGCACTTTGCGATAAATAAGTGGGTTTTGGGTTGCGGTTTGGGCACTCGATCTCTAAAAGGTTCACCATCACTGGTATAGGCCTTTCTGTATTTACTTTTGCTAATAGAAATGGGAGTAAACAGGCAGAAGATAAGCTTCAATACAATCAATATCTTCACTACAGATATTTCCCACGAATCCGGTGGAGAAAAAGGACAATAGACCTTCACCATACCTCTCTTCAGAAATAGGGCAGCATGTAAAATGCAGCAAAGCAGCCCTTAGGTGTTTCGATTATTCAAGTTCCAGGAGGGGATGAAGTTACAAAAAAGTGGGCTCCATATAAAACATATGCTAGGTATTTGACTTCAAAAAATGTAAAAGTTGTAGAATTTGCCCTATTTTTTTGGGGGGGGGGAACCCTTGAAGTTCCCACTGCACTTCTGCGAACATGCTGGGGCACATAAGATCCATGAACCTTCTTTGAGCCAGATTTCTGCCTGAAAGCTCCAAGTACTTGAAAATCAGTACTGAATTAGTTCAGTTAAATTTCCTTTGATCTACTGGCAATATAGTCCTGGTTTCCTACAAAAACATAATTTTGATTTTGGGCTAATGTATTTCTACCTGATTCTCTGTTATACTGAAGAACCTCATAGTGTTAATTCTTAGAATCCCAACAGAATGTATTATCAAAGTATCTTCATTAAGCTAAAAATATGTTCTCTGCCAATGCTCTCTGATGGATGGAAATTTAGATTGTTGAGGTGGTTCAACAGACTATATAGAAATTTTAAAAGGAACAAGCATACCTCAAGTAACAACTTTGTAAATTGGAATAGCATTTGTCCAGTTTGCCAGAGATGCTGCATCTAACTTTCAGTGCTATATCAGTATGTAATCTACATGTGAGTAGTAACATGCACTGATCAGCTGTGGAGGCAAAAATATAGAATTATCATCTTCAATGTTTTTTTCAACTTTCAGTATTGCCCCTGGTGTTTCCATTCAAGGACTAGACAGTTTCAGCCCTGCTTAAGTCAGCCAAGCTACCCCGTGGCTGTAAGTCTTTAGGCCTCAAACCATATGTTGCAATTATTGAATAAAGTACATTATACCAGGCTACAAAGGTCACAATTTTCATTTTACATAATTGAGCACTCGGCCTTGGAAAATAAATATAACAATTAAGAAAGCTAGATCTCAGCTAGATCTAATTTGGGTGGGCAAATGTGAGTGGAAGGCTTTTCTGTTTTTGACATTTTTTCCCGTCCCACTCCACCCCAGTCCCTCCCCCTCAAATGTTTCTTCTGCCTGGCTGACCAGCCAACACCACAACCAGTTTCAATGGATGTTTTAAAAATACTCTGAATTGTGGCACAAGCCCTATTTTTCATTTTTTATCTCTGTATTTATTTATTTTTATTACTTTTAAAGTAGTGACAAAGAGAATAATCACCAAGCCCCTTTTTTTCATAAAGTTACACCTGAATTTGGTGCTTCTCTGAAAGAAAGACCTTCACATCCTTGGCTGGTCTTGGCTTCCACAGAACCGCCAGGGTGGCAGTATCGGGAGGTGGGACAGTGCCAGTGGGAAAGCCTGGAGAAAGAGTGGGCAAAGTGAGCACAGGGGTTGAAGGAGCAGAATTGGCTGTCCATTTCTGTTCTCCTTGGTATCCACTGTGCTTGACATCCTTGACATCAGGATGCAGTAAATCCCCGAGGGAAAGTGCTCTAACTTGTTGACTGTTGGGCTTGGAAGGAAAGTGGAAAGCTTGGGAGCTTGGAGGCCTAAATCCTGGGGCTGAATTGCTAATTGTTGGGACTCTCGGGCTGCTGGAACCTCTACAGCAGGGGTTTCAAACTGCCAGCCCATGGGCCAGTTGCATCACACGGAGGCCACACCCACCCCAGCTCCAGCAATGCAAAAAAAGTTGTGATATGTTTCGACACATCACGTGACGCAGCAAGTTTGACACCCGTGCTCTATAGCTTTTGCTGTGCTCTGTGCCTCCCGCCACCCTTCGTCCAGCTGCGCCACACAAAAGGTGTGCAGGATCCTGACTCAAAGAGTTGTTGAAGTACTGGAGGATTTGCAGCCTTTGATCTTCAAAAGCCCTAGTTTCTTTGAGAATTTCTTAGGCTGATAAAATTTGGCTTCCTGGAAAGAGAAGAGCAGGTTTTGGAGAGTGAAGCTTTTGGTGGCCTGACTAAACCTCTCTGCTTGCTTGCCTACTTAGACCCCACCAACCGCATGCTTGTTAGAGATGTGAAGGCACTGCTCCTTCTGCCAGCTTGCCAGAATCTCTTCCCATCCTCAGCCAAAGATTGTTTACTTCTTGCAGGGAGGCCCACGTGGGCAAGGGGAGGGGCTGGCAGAGCTGTGCTCTGGAGTACTGTGTGCAAAACTGCCTTTCCCGGCATTCCAGAGCCAGAGGAGCTGAGCTTGGAGCATGAGCCCCCTCTTTCCTTTCTGTCAGGAGGCTTCATGCATATCCTGCTCTCCCTCTTTCTCTCCCTCACACACAAAGATAAATCTCGTAATGGTGGTCTTGCAGGTTAATGCCCCAAATCAATCTCTTTGATTTCTCTGCAGTGAGGGCCCAAATGGCACAGAAAAATAGGGAAAGGCAGCTTTTCCAGCTCTTTTCCTTTGCTGCTTCTCAGAATGGCCGATTTCGTAGGTGGGGAGGGGGTCCTGGAAGTGCATGAGCTGGGGCAGGATTGGTATTCGTTAAGAGAGGACAAGAGGTTTTGGGGAAAATAGGCAAAGCCTACGGTTCCTGGCACAGCAGGAGCAAAACTGGGGGGCTGACTGTTTTGCCAGAAGCTCTTGTGCAAAGGAGGTTGGTATGCCTGTCAGGTGTAGCAGTCTGCTCCAGAGAGACCCTGGGCCAGCTCCGGCCAGTTTTAGTTCTAGAAAGCTGGAAAATGTGGCTCCGCATGGGCTCTAATGACAGGACCAGCACGAACAAGGGAGCACAGAGTTGGTGACTTTTCAGCTTCACACCACCTGGCGCATAGCAGGAGGCCCTCATATTGCCGGGCGGCTGTTGCTTCTGCCCTAACCCAGACTGCTTTCCTTTAACATGGAGGTCCTGTTTAGTCCTGTGGGATGACACCCATGGGGAATTAATTCCGGTGGAATTAATGGAGCTATTTGTACGTAGATGTTGCAAATCATTGCTGTGAAGACAGCCTTCTATTTATAGGTTCCAAAACAGCAGTTTTTGAAGAAATTGCTCTTTAAAGAGGTGGCTTCCCTTTGTAACCTTCTGCAAAAAAAATTTTTTGGGGAGGGTAATCTTAAAATTCTTGATTTTCTACAGGCATTCAGGGGAATTCCATAGCCCAAGGCAGATCCAGGCTGTCTTTTGGGCTTTATGAGATATATTTCCATTGGTGGCCTCTCTTCCAGCATATGCCATATAAAATAGGTTGTTAATGAATTTTGACCCCCTTTTGTTTTCACTATAGCTTTTACTTAAACATCTCTCTCCCTCTTTCTGCAGGATGAGCAATTTCTAGGTTTTGGTTCAGAGGATGAGGCCAAAGGAACAAATTCCCCCAAGTCCCTTGCAGGTAAATCCAACCAACTACAACCTGAATCATATTCAATGGGATTTGCTTTAATGGGTTTTAGATGTGGCTGATCTAAAGAATGTTTATTGAGTGACAAAACCTGAAATTTGTATTTGCCAGCCTCATATAATATACTAAGTCATAGCTTTTTTCAATAATGAGTTGCTAAAAAGTAGCTGTTGATTTCATTAATTTTGTTGTCCAACTCCAAGAAGATACTTGGTGGCATACAATAAGTCCAATAATATATTAAAATACAAGTAAAAGCCACATTACTGCTCATATCAAAACAATACTTCTCAGCATGCAAGTAAATTCAACAATGCCACACAATATGGTAGCCAGTAAATCATGACTTAGAAAACACAGTTGCCCAATACACTTAAACCATTAATGGCCCAATCAGATTCTTATATTATCACATTAATGGAGTCAAAAATTACTATTTGGGGGATACAGATTCTCCACACCATTTTACACCAGGAGAATATTGACAAGACTTTGTTAATATCATAGAGAGTGTAAGGTGTGTCTTGGCTGCTGTAGTCCAGAGATCCCCAACTCCTGATCTGTGGACCAGTACTGGGCCGTGGCATGCCAGCAACTGGGCCGCACAAACAAGCAAAGGCCCATCCGCAAGATGCAAGCAGCACACTAAACCACACCGCTCTGGTTTGTGAAAAAACCTCTCTCCACGGAACCGGTCCCTGGCACCCAAAAGGTTGGGGACATCTGCTGTAGTCGGTCCTTTTCAGAAAAGGAGTTTTCTGCTGCCAGGTCTGGGAATCATGGGGAAATGTTTTAGTGGCTTTCTCCAGCTTTTTTTTTTTTAAAGATTAGGCTAAGATTCATTAACTGGTTTTATAATGGGTAAAATATTCCTGTGACACGATTGCCTGAATGACATGACTTAGTCTGTTAGCCTACATGTAATCCTTTGGAAGTTCATTAATTTTTTTTAAGCATTCTCACCATACACTATGTTCTTCCCATTGATTCTGCCCTGGGCGTTATGAACATTTCAAGACATCTATGAAAAGGCCCACTAATAGAAATGCCGTCTATTATTAAAGCCTGCTTTGACCGTCCTGACGAAAAAGAAATGAAATTTAAATTCCGATATGTGGTTTCTGTCTTGACCCATGGCTAGTGAATGCAGCTGGGGATTATTAAATCCAGCGTCCCATGCTGCTGAGCTAAGGCAATTCATAACCCAACAGGAAAAGATTCAGGATAGCTTCTCCTGTCCCAAGTTCAGCCATTGTAAATTTGTGACTCAGTTTATGTCCTGGTAAACTGATTGACTAAATTCTCCTAGCATTATAAAATTAGTCATCTAAATATGCATACTAAGCCTATTTATGTAGAATTCAGAAATTGACCTACTCTTAAAACTATAAAATATTGGATCCTTCCTTCCTCTTTTCTTTTCTTTTCTTTTCTTTTCTTACCTTATTCCTGTTTTCATTTTGTGCCATGGCTGAAAACAAGGATTTCCCTGCTTAATGTACCCATTTTTGTTCTTTTTCTGCAGTCTCAGTCAAAGCTAGTGCACGTAAACCTCGTGGGAGACCTCGGAACGGTTCAGACCGAAGTCCAGCTGCTCTACCAGAGTCCTTGCCAATATATTCACTTTTAAGCAAGCCAGAACCTACATCCATGGAAAAAATAAAAAGGAAAGAATTTAAAAGTGGAGAAAAACGTCGAGGGAGACCTCCTGCTCTAACCAGTGTGAAATTCAAGATCAGCCATAAAGAGTGCATTCCAGATACTCAGAAAGGAGGGAAGGAAGAAAAAGAGAATGTAAAGAAAATAAAGCGGGCACCATCAGCTACCTTTCAGCATGCTGCAAAAATTAAGAAATTAAGAACAGGCAAACTCTCTCCACTGAAGTCTCAGTTCAAATCCGGGAAGCTCCAGATTGGGAGGAAAGGGATTCAGATTGCCCGCAGGAGAGGGAGGCCGCCATCTTCTGATCGCTTGAAGACTATGCCAGCTCTTGTATGTTCCCAGTTGGAGAAAGTCCAGAGGGCACGAAAGGAGAGAGAGGGTGTACCATCTCTCCCCAAAGATGAAAAGCCAACAGTCAGACAGAGCCCTCGCAGACCAGTAAGGATGATTCCTTCTTGCAAGAGGACAGATGCCACAATTGCCAAGCAGCTCTTGCAGAAGGCAAAAAAAGGAGCTCAAAAGAAAATGGAGAAAGAAGCAGCAAAGCTTCAGGGCCGGAAGGGGAGGACTCAGCTCAAGAACATTCGGCAGTTCATTATGCCTGTAGTGAGTGCCATCTCTTCACGAATAATTAAGACTCCCAAGCGTTTCATTGAAGATGAAGACTATGACCCGCCAATTAAAATAGCACGCTTAGAGTCTACCCCAAATAGCCGCTTCAGTGCTACCTCTTGCGAGTCCAGCGAGAAGTCCAGTGTCGCATCTCAGCACTCCTCCCAGCTGTCTTCAGATTCCTCACGGTCCAGCAGTCCAAGTGTTGATACATCCACAGATTCACAGGCTTCTGAAGAGATGCAGGCTCTCTCGGAAGAATGCATCGATACTTCAGAAGTCCACCCGTCCCTGCCAGCATCCACCTCCCCTGTGAACGAGGGTGCTGAGCAGAGGAGGAGGAGGAGGAGGTTTTCAATGGCAGAAAAGAATTTTGCCCCCAAAGCAGCTAAGAAAGTGCCCAGCCTCCAAAGCGTGTCTCAACAACAGTCTTCTCCTTCTTCTTCTTCACCTCCCCCCCCATTACTCACCCCGCCTCCCCCCCTGCAGCCAGCAGCAGGCATCTCTGACCATGCACCGTGGCTCATGCCTCCCACCATTCCCTTGGCATCACCCTTCTTGCCATCTTCTTCTGCTACTCCTGTGCAAGAGAAGCGGAAGTCAATCCTCCGAGAACCGACCTTTCGTTGGACTTCCCTGAAGCCCTCCCGCTCTGAGCCCCAGTACTTCTCCTCTGCCAAGTACGCCAAAGAAGGTCTTATCCGCAAGCCGGTTTTTGATAACTTCCGGCCGCCGCCCCTGACCCCAGAAGACGTGGGCTTTGCTGCTGCCGCGGCCAGCTTTACCCCTCCAGGGGCCACAGCTCCCACCCGCTTATTTTCTCCTCTTCATTCTGGAACAAGGTTTGATCTGCACAAGAGAAGCCCCCTGTTGCGAGCCCCAAGATTCACTCCCAGTGAGGCACACTCACGCATCTTTGAGTCTGTCACGTTGCCCCCTTCGATTAGTCGAAGTGCTGCAGGAAGCGCTACAGCAGCAGCTTCTTCAAGAAAACGGAAGAGGCGAGTTTTCAGCCCAATCCGATCTGAATCGAGATCTCCTTCGCACTCCATGAGGACAAGAAGCGGAAGACTCGGCACCTCTGAGCTACCCACGCTCCCTCCAGCCTCCTCCGTCTCTTCTTCCCTAACTAGCATTTCTGTAGGCTCCCTTACCACTAGTGCCTTAAACGCCACCACGTTCACTTTCCCTTCACATTCCCTGTCCCAGACTGGGGAAGCAGCAGAGAAAGGTCAGAAGCCAAGGAAACAGACAAACCTTCCTGCCCAGCCATTCTCATCAGGTGGCACTGCTTCCCTTTTTCCTTGGTTTGCACCAAGTCACCAGACAGAGAGGACCAGAAGCAAAGACAAAGCCACCGAGGAGCTGTCCAAAGACAAAGAAAGGGACAACAGTCCTGAGAAAGAGAAGAGCCGAGAAAGAGATAGAGATAGGGAGAAAGAAAACAAACGTGAATCGAGAAAAGAGGAGAAGAAGAAGAAGAAGAAGGCTTCAGAAATTCAGAGCAGCTCTGCTTTATTCCCGTCAACTCGAGGTTCTAAAGGAAAGGTTCTTGTGAGTGAAGATGTAGCAACCTCATCTTTTGCCAAAAAACCTACAGGACGGAGGAAACTAACTGTCACTGATCCAGCAGCAGGTGTCCCTGCGGTAGTTCTTGTGGACTCAGTTAGCATAAAGACCAAGTTACCCAAGAAAAGCCGAGGGGTCTTGGAGAAATCAAATGTGGACCTTGGCCTGGAAGCCTCGTCTGCAGAAAAGGAAGAACCTTTGCGCCTTCCTGCTGCCTCAGTTGGCATTGTGAAACATTCCTCCATCAGCTCAGTATTGGCTCATGCTGATAAGCTTCCAGTGACTGACAAGAGGGTGGCCAGTCTCCTGAAGAAAGCTAAGGCTCAGCTCTATAAGATTGAGAAGAGCAAGTCCCTCAAACAGGTGGATCAGCCCAAAGGACAGGTATCTTCCAAACATAGTGGGATTAGAAGGGAGGTAGCACAGGCAATAAGAGTTGGTGCTCCCCTGACAGAATAGGTGAAGCAATGATGGTTGACAGGAGTTTCCTGAGAAGGTGCAAGTGCGACTGGTCCCTGGGTCTCGCTAAGCAAGCCCAGGGAAGCTGTGAACCGGGAAATGTTTGCTATTATACTGCCACTGCTGACGAACATTGGCATGCTGTGAGCTGTTTGCTTAAAGCTTCTTGTGTCTTTCTTTCCTTGCGAAGACTCTGCAAGGAATGTCGGCGTGCACCAGAATGGAACATAGCAGTTCGCCTTTCCAGGTGTCTTGTGCCTCTGTATTAATGCTTGTGGATGGGCGCTACTTTCCCACCCCATTGCACTCCAGAGCATCTTTTGGGAATTGAATTCAAAACATTTGTAGCCCTGGATCTTCCATCTCAAGGGAAGCGATGAGCTCTGAATTACTGCAGGGAGGGGTTTTTTTTTTTTAAAAAAAAATACTTTCTTTTTTCTTCCTGCCCTTCCCAGTTCCCTTGGGTTGTTATATACAACACAGCTACTAAGTGTCTTGCAATATGTAGATGTTGCTATATATTATTTCTAGTAGATACTCACTATAAGCTCATACTCAGCCTGAGTTCCTTGATGCAGTTTGTGTTTATATTTGCAGAATTGCAAGTGATTGGCTTCAGGCAAAGCCTCTCTGCCTTGTGGAAGGGAACCCACTTGGAAACATAATGTTAGAGAAGGCCAAGAAGCCAGCCAGACATGCCTCTCTACTGGGATTGAGTTGCTTATGGCAGGATGATTGCATCAACCTATTCCATCTGTTTCTCTGCTGCAATTTAGGGTCAAGAGAGCGATTCCTCAGAGACCTCTGTGCGAGGTCCACGCATCAAGCATGTCTGCAGGAGGGCAGCTGTCGCCCTGGGCCGCAAGCGAGCAGTCTTCCCAGATGACATGCCCACTCTGAGTGCCTTACCATGGGAAGAACGGGAGAAGATACTGTCTTCCATGGGGAATGATGGTGAATGTTTTGATTTGCATAAATGACTGCATTCCTTTCTTTATATCAAGGGGCATTAGAAATTAACGTAAGAGAGACAGCTGAATGGAAGGGTAGTTTTACAAAAATCTGAATAGACCCTTTTGCGGTGCTCCTTTAGAAAAAGTGCAAGTAGCACAATCGTCACTTTTCTCTCCATTGATGATGCTGAATTAATCATCGGGGGTCTTTTTGACAGACAAATCCTCTGTTGCTGGATCAGAAGATGCTGAGCCCCTTGCACCTCCCATCAAGCCCATCAAGCCAGTAACCAGAAGCAAGGTCCCTCAGGAGCCTCCAGTGAAGAAAGGCCGACGGTCAAGGCGCTGTGGGCAGTGTCCAGGCTGCCAAGTCCCAGAAGATTGTGGTGTCTGCACAAACTGTCTGGATAAGCCGAAGTTTGGTGGGCGGAACATAAAAAAGCAGTGCTGCAAGTAAGTGTGTGGATTTGTGGCCTCCGTACGACCAACTCTTCTGGGGGACGGGAATACCCTAAAACACTGATTTCACCCTCCCTGAGGAGATGCCAAGGGTCTCAGACTTTCCCATGCTTTGGGCTGGATTTCTCATCAAATGGCAGCTGAGTTCTAAGCACTTCTTTCTCAGGCCATGGTGGTAAAGAAGCAGGCATGTGCAGATGGTGCAAAGGGGAGCTCAGTTAAAGATCTTTGCCATACCTGGTGCAAGTGCCTCCTTTTGCCATGCTGAAGTTGGTTTTTGTCTCTAAGCGAAATGGGGGAGCAGCTCCCCTGGGTGAATCCTTCCTCTGTCTCCCCATTACTCATACTTGAGCTGCCTGGCCAGTCAGCTCAGACAGGGAATGGGAATTCTTATGCTGCTCTTCTCTCCTTTGGACAGAATCTCAAATAAGATTCTTTTCACTGCAGCTGAGAGGCTAACATTGCCAAGCATATCCTGCTGGGGTCAATCAGTTCAGATAGCCAGACTTACCTGGGAGCTTGGGGGGGGGGGGGTGAGGGTTGAAAATTTCTAAGCATTTCTTTTTACAGGATCGTTCTCTCTCCCCCACCCCCCAGGTCTGCAAGTCAGAAATGGCCAGGCTAGCAGAAGACCAATAAAAGAGAATAATATTTGTAGATCAAGAGTTGAAATGAGGGCTCTTGGTGCTCTCTGAGCTTGGTTATTTTCCTGCAGACATTTCATGACCCGACTAGTTAACATCATCAGCATTAGTGATGATGTTACCTAGTTTGGGTAATGAAACACCTGCAAGAAAACCATCAAGCTCAGAGAGCACCAAGGATCCTGCTAGCAGAATCTTCCTGCAGAGTGCTTAGTAATGTGTCTTTCCATCTCTTCCTTTTCTCTTTCTGAAGGATGAGGAAGTGCCAGAATCTGCAGTGGATGCCATCGAAAGCCTATCTCCAGAAGCAAGCCAAAGGTGGGAAGCCCTTTGGAGAGGGAGAGCAAGAAGGGACGGGACACGGGTGCTTTCAGAACAACAGCTCCATATGTGGGTGGCACTTCCATCAAAAGGGCTTTTCTACTTTGCAGCTGTGAAAAAAAAGGAGAAGAAATCCAAGTCCGGTGAAAAGAAAGACAACCATGTGGGGAAGATTCAGGGGGAGTCAGGGCAAAAAGCAGCAGCTCCTCCTCTGGCTTTGGGAAAAGAGGATCAGGCCTCCAAGAGAAGCAGCGAACCAGCCCGGAAGGCCAGTGAAGAAAAGATAGAGGAAGGGCAGCTGCTGCCACCCATCCTGGACCCCAAGCAGCCTCTTCCCTCTGCTACCCGGAAAGCTGGCAAACAAGCATCGCCTGCCTTGCCCTCCATCCAGCTGCCTAGCTTGGTCCCGCCCAAAAAGGAAGCCCCCAAAACTGTCCTGGCTGAACTCAAGAAAAAAATAGCGCCATCCCTGGAAGCAGGTTCGTGTTGACATGCCTATCGGCCTCTCCAAGACCAACATATCTGCTCTCTGGAGAGACTGGTTGGGCCTCGCTCTCTGGTGTAAGACTGCCTCCCGCAGGGAGAAAATGCCCCAGCTGAACAACTGCATGCAAATAGGTGCTTTCTTGGGCACACATCGATAGCCACATGAGGAAGCAGCAGGCAAATGGGACTTGCCTTTCTCTTTTGTAATCCTTTGTTCCTTTTCTCCTTCTGTATGCCTGTTTGCTATAAGCACATCCTGTTTCTTTAGCAAAGCACACGGTGCATTCCTCTTATTTCTTTTGGTTTAATCTAGGTTCGTACTTAAAGCAGAAGAAATAGGAAGTGGGGAAAGGGCTCGGGTATAGCTTTATTATTCTGGAGGGGTTAGGGTTTGTTTCTAGAAGCAAAAAGAAGATAGTGTCTTTTCTGCCTTAACAAGGTCCCAAATGCTTTAAGAGACGAGTCTTGGGTTATTACAAAGTATGTTTGTACTTTTTCTAGCCATTGAGCAAAACAGACAGAAGAAAATCATTCCACGTCCCAGCTTACCGATGAAACAGAAATCAAAAGAAAAGGTAACCTAATGCTTCATCTTGTTTCAAGACAAAAAGTGTTCTGTAATTGTGCCCTACTAAGCCTGATCCTGATCTCACCCCTTTCCAAGGGTCCAAACCCAGTGCACACCCTCCAGAGCCAGGTACAGTCTGGGCCCCTGGAGGGTGTGCATGTATACATGCCAAATATTAGCATTTCTGGCCTTTTAAGAAAAAATGGGTGCATAATATGAGTGTAATATTTCTCTAGTATTGTTCCTTGTCAGATGGTAGTGATAACTCAGCATGAATTTTGCGATGCCTGTGGCCACTTATTACAGGCTAGGCAAGGTGCCTGTGTGTTCAATTAATATATTCTGAGCCAGTTTGGGAAGTAAAGGAAATATTGTGTCTCCCATCTTTCTAGGAGAAGCCCCTCCCAGTCAGCAAGCCAGAGAATAGCCCGCTCAATACCCTGAGCACTTTATCCAACAACACCCCTTCCAAGCAGAAGCCCCTGACAGATGGGGTCCACAGGATCCGAGTGGACTTCAAGGTAACAAGGGAGCTTTTGGTGTGGCTTCCTCCCTCAGGAGTTGGGCCATGGAATAGGGACGGTTCCCTCCCTTCCCACCACATTGTACTGCCAAGCAAGCAGTCTTGAGGGACTGGCAGAACAATCTCCAGCAGGTGTTGCTTCTCTGCTTTTTAGGAGGACTGTGAGGCTGAAAGCGTTTGGGAAATGGGTGGTTTGGGTATCCTAACCTCCATTCCGATAACTCCCAGAGTAGTCTGCTTCCTGTGTGCCAGCAGCGGGAACGTGGAGGTAAGAGGGTAGCCAGGTATGGGAGAGGGTTTTTTAGTTGCATTGTTAAAGTAAATTTGAAACACATAGATGGAATTGAATCCTTCATCAAAATAATCCATTGTTTTTGCAGAATCATGTTTTAATATTTTTTATTAAAAATTTTATTTGCCTCTGAAACCACAAACTGGTCCAACTGCTGCCGGTTCCTTCTAAACCCCGATACATCATATTTTTTGCTTGTTGCGGAGTCTGGGATTGCTGTAGAAGTGAAATTGCTCACAGACAAGTTGGGATGTGGTCTAAAAGCATCTTCAGATGATTTTGTTTATGGACCCAATTTTGTATTACGCTGGTACTTTGGTACTCAGTTGCTTTGAAACTCATTGAATTTTGTACTCAGAGCATTTTGACGCAAAAAAATTGTCCTGGTACTCATCATTTGTTTGGTACCCAATGCACAAGCTGGAATTTGTCAGTGTCAGCTGTCTTGTAACTCACTACATTATTCCCACGGGGAAAAATTTGGTATTCATTGCGCCTCCCAGAACTTCTTGTCGATGAGTACCGAGGTACCACTGTACTTTGGATGTTAATAGGTGGAGCCATTAGGCCGTCACTCCTTTCTTCCTTCCTTCGTTCAGTTTGTACTTTGCCTTTCAATTCAAGGCAGTGCTGCTTGAGTTAAGAACCAAATTCTTACAAAATCCATCAGAGTGAAGCTGAGAGAGGGGGGGGAGGGAGGGAGGGAGGTGCAGTAGGCCTGCCTGATTGGCTGACTTGTTTGTTTGCTTGTAGTTTGTATATTGCCAGGTCTGCTGTGAGCCTTTCCACAAATTCTGTTTAGAGGTTAATGAACGCCCCCTGGAAGACCAGTTGGAAAACTGGTGCTGCCGTCGCTGCAAGTTCTGCCATGTATGTGGGAGACCGCATCAGGCCTCCAAGGTAACTCACCTCGGTTTCTGGCACCTGTCCAGTTCTTTCTTTGGAAAGCGGACTGGCACTTAGGGTGTTGTGCACTAGCGTTGGAAAGAGCCCTCCCCCCCCCAACTGACAGGCCTCTTGAAGCCTAAAACACTGTGTCCAGGCTTTGTGCGATGCCACTTCTGTTTTCTGCAATTCCATAGCAATTGTTGGAGTGCAACAAGTGCCGGAACAGCTATCACCCAGAGTGCCTGGGACCGAACTACCCAACTAAGCCCACAAAGAAGAAGAAAGTGTGGGTACGTTTCTCTGGGGAATCTGGGTATTTCTTAGGCAGACTTTGTTGCTCAAACAAAAGGTCATTTTAACAAAATAGAAGAAAGTGGGGAAAGGAGAATGGTTGTGATTGTACAAATTCCTGGGAAAATGGACATGCTCGAGTATAATTTTGTATTGGTCTTTTATTTTGCTGTTGTGATTTCTTTATTGAATATAGTGTCTCTTTTTAATAGAGATATATTGATATTTCTCAATGAGTGATCCTTGAAAAAAGCCCAAGCTTCTTTCTCTCTTTCTAGATTTGCACCAAGTGTGTTCGCTGTAAGAGCTGTGGGGCGACAACTCCAGGCAAAGGGTGGGATGCACAGTGGTCCCACGACTTCTCTTTGTGTCACGATTGTGCCAAACTCTTCGCTAAAGGTGCAAAAGAGCTGAACGCTATTGAGGACAAAGGCCTGGGAGGGTTGGCAGCCATTCCACTTGAGGGGAAATCGTTGCTTTTCAATCTTTCCCTTAGAATGGGGAAGGCAGACAGCTTCCTACATAGAATTGAACACTGCCTGTTTCATAGATAACACTAAGACTTACATTGTTTTAACGGTGGTTTGTTAAAGAAGCCACCATAAGCCCCATTTTGCCTGTATGAACCCAGTCACTGAACTGAGAGGGGTTTTCCCCCGTCAGTCAGTGACAGTACTTGCCAGCAGCCATTCTTGCTTTGTGAGGCATCCCCAGCCCCTGCTCAGCCCCGACTCTTGGGCTATCTGGGCCCAGCTCATCGTTTTCTGCTGCTTGCAGGGAACTTCTGCCCCCTCTGTGACAAGTGCTATGATGATGACGACTATGAAAGCAAGATGATGCAGTGTGGGAAATGTGACCGCTGGGTTCACGCCAAATGTGAAAACCTCTCTGGTGAGGAAGAGTATTTACGGTCAACAGATTTCACCCTTAGATTACTTTTGCAGATCACTCTGGTTTAAAAAAAGGTGGGGAAACCCTGCAGCAAAGATTGGTATCCAGAAATTCCTCTAATGCTCACAAACAAAAATGTAACCGGGTCAAGCTGTGTACTGAGCCAGTTTTAGAAAGTAACACACTTAACCTTGGATCTTGGAAGGTGAATGGAAATGCTTTGAGATGGTTTGGGGAAGAGTTAGTCTACATAAACTAGCAGACTGTATATACTCCCGCTCCAGATGTCTAGCAAGGCATGTTCCTCTCATGCTTAAGATGGCCGAGTTGGCAGGCACCACATTCTCCCAATTCTGAGACATTAGAACATACATGGGCATTGAGTTAAGCCCTTATCCTCATATCCCTCTTTCCTGGCTCTGCACAAACACACCCTTCTGGCACCCATAAAACCATCACCATTTCTTCCTTCAGATGAGATGTATGAAATCCTCTCCAACCTTCCGGAGAGCGTGGCTTACACCTGCATTAATTGCACTGAACAGCATCCTCCTGAATGGCGGCTGGCCCTTGAGAAAGAGCTGCAGCTTTCTTTAAAGCAAGTTTTGACAGCCCTACTGAATTCTAGAACAACTAGCCACTTACTGCGTTATCGACAGGTACATCTACCTTTTTCCTTTCCCAAACTAATTAACCAACTGTTTGTCTGTCTCTCTAAGTCTATTTATGAGATGTTGGTTATTGTAAATGCAGAATTTCTAGGAAAAACAGCAGAATTAGCTAATCATCACTAGTCTTAAGTCAGTGTCACGGGCTAAGAACTGAAGGTTTGGTATCTTAACTATGACGATTCATATGGCAATCATTATCCCGTATCAGTTAAAGTTGGAGGAATCCTGAACAAACATTGCTCTCTCTCTCTCTCTCTCTCTCTCTCTCTCTCTCTCTCTCTCTCTCTCTCTCTCTC